CTTATATTTGCGTTAACAGCTGCTCACTGTTGCGTGTTGCAAGTGCGTTAACAGAATAGTTGGTGTTCAAGTATAAATTATCAAAATATCTGCACAAATTAGTGAATATATTAGTTTCGATAATTTACTATCTGCTGATTTAATTTTGTGTTAATTTAATATATTTTACATATTGCTGCCTCTTAACATTGCAAATTTCTTTTCAATATAATTTTAAGTTAACATATGCTGCTCTTTTTGGCGTTAGTCTGCTATCAAGTTAAACTGCTTGCAGCGCATGCACTACAGGCGTACATTTTACACTGCTTACAGCTGCAAGCAGTTTGTATTTTGTGGAGCTCCAATTAGCGCCCTAAACTGATTGCCTACTTGAATATAAATGTTACTTTATTTCAAATATTTAATTATAATGCAAATCAATTTCAAGCATCAACTCTTTCGTTTCTCATCTATAAATTCCTTACATTACATTCTATGCAATGTGTATTTGTTATGTTAAGAGGCTACCATCCCTCCCCGTGTTTTTATTCTTAGCATCCAATTAGATTTTCTTTTATGCTCCCTTCAAATTGGAAAGCAACAGCAGCAGCAGCCAACGCAATTGGAATCGCAGTGCCAGCTGCCCTATAAAATATTAAAAGTCACACACACACACACACAGATACTTATACATATGATGTAATCATAAATATACTTATACATATATATAAGAGCTGGGTCAAATCTGGTATATATAGTCTTATATACAATTGCTTGCACATGTATTCGTATATACAGTTAGTTATTACTGTCCAATTGGATTACTGCTTGAGTTCTGCAAAGAGAGCTTTGAGCGCAAGCTTTGCCACCCCCTATTTGGAATGCTCGCTCCCTCTTCGCTGCGCGCATGTGCTGCGCCGTCGACGTCGACGTCGCCGCAGCGGCTGCTGCTTCTACTTCTGCTGCCTCTTTATCGATTGACCCAATTCTTGGATACATATTTCTACATAGTTGAATTTTCTTATCGCTTCGGTTCCTATTTTGCAGCTGAAAATTCGTTCCGGTTTTTTTCCCCCTCCATATTTTTGTCACATTCCAATGGTTTCGTCCTTTCAACGTCCTTTCCACAGCTCTAAAGCTTTTTGCAAAAGCCTTGGGATATATATACACGTATATATGTATTTTATTCACATTGGAGGTGTGGCTCTCCTTGTTTTATGGGGCTTGGTTATGCCTGCATGTTCTTATTAGAATGAGCCCACTTGCTATTAATATGCTCATTATGTCATCAACAAATATCTGCGAAATGGGATATTAATGTAACTAACGACCTAATAAGAATACGCAAACAAACAGTTATAAGAAACGGTCAACAAATGTTGACTTAGTTAATAGATAACTGAATCATAAATTTAGATGAAAACTAAAATAGATTCCACGTATATATATATATCAAATATTTAACCTTGGCTTCAATTAGATAAATCTGACGAAGTCTACTAGAAAGTCAAATATATTATTATAATATTACAAAAATTATTCAAAATTCAATAAACATTTTAAAATTCGAATAACTTTTATGTTATTTCCTATAAATAATTTCTCTATAAAGAAAGCCAATTAGATTATTGTCATGTGTATTGGAGTATTTGCGAATTGGCAACTAGTATAGATTCTAATAGGATTTATTGCAACATAAAAGAGGCGCAAAGCTGTGAGGCTTTTTAGACTTAGGTTGAGCTGCCTGAAATTTCCCGAAGGACACATTTAAATCTAGGTACATTTATTCCTATAAAACCTATAAAGTCATATTTAAGTGCAAAAGCCTAAATATACTTAGAGCTAGAATCCGCAAAATTGAAAAATAGCCTAAAGCTAGTTTGACCTTAACTTAATCCAGTAGAACACTTCCAAAAAAAATAAGAGAAATTTAATACTAAAGGAATTGAATTTTGAAGCCAAAATCTCTCGAAGAGCCTCAATTTCTATGTATTTTTTTGTATTTACATATCAAGACTTTCCCTTAAGTGTATCCAAAAAAAATTCCTATTAAAAGTGAATAACACAATTCTAATTCGACAATAAAACTGTATTACGAAACAGAAAAAAAAAAAAAACATTTACATTTACATATAAATTGTTATACAGAAGTGTCTATAAGGCAATCCAATTAGATTTACGGATTTTAAAACCCCAATTGAATATATTGTATTTTAGGCATATCTAATTATCTTTTAAATTTACATACGTACACAAATACTACAGTAAATACTGATAAGAATAACACACATATTATGCTAAAAAAAATTTAAAATTAAAAATCCAACTAGAATTTTAAATATACTATGTATTTCAATTGTGCGTATATTTTCCCAAAACAAACCGTTTATTTTTCTCTTTTTTTTAACCAAAGGCAAATAGTCGCCCATTTATCAAACACTTCAGACAATGCAAGTGTTTGTGCGTGCATGTGCGTATGTGCGTGTGTGTGTATTTGTTTCTTTTCTATGTTTGTTTTATTTGAGAGCGCATAAACAAACGATTATCCGGTCGACCCAGAAACATATTTGTGCATAAAAGAGTTTCCAAAAAAAAGAAAAATAAGCAGCAGAGTAAAGTTTTTGTTTTTTACCTCTCTACGCACACAAAAAATAATGAAGCAAGCATAAAGTGAGGTTATGTGCGCATAGATAAATGTAAAAACACACACAAACACCTATACATAGAGTGGTATACAAGTACTCGTATATGACACGTGTAATTGACCTACTTTCCCTATTCGACAAAAGCAGCGCACAGTAAATGTACAAACAAAACACACACACACACACACATGCATGCAGACATATATACATGCATATGCACATACATCTAGCATAGCTACGCATAGAGCAAAAGTGAGAGAGTGAGAGCGAGAGAGTTATAGATATGGCAACCAGCCAGCCAGTCAGCCTGCCTGCTTGGCCACTCGCCCACCCCCCACTCGCCCCTTCCAAAATACCTACATACATATAACAGCTGTGAAGGATTGTGCTTGCAAAGCAGTGTCTGTGTATGTATGAGTGCATTGATCAATGTTCTGTGCTATTGACATATTAATGGCTCGCAATTTGTTTTCATTTAACGATCAAAATTATGCTATCACACAACACACACAAACACAGAAAGAGAGAGAATATACATATATATATGTACATGCGTATGTTTGTATGCATGCACATGGCTCCGTAAGAGAAAAGCTTTTCTACAGCTGCAAAGCTCGCTCTCGCTAGATTGCGCGCTTGTTTGCGCACATTGGCTGGCTGTGTATATAGGCGCAGCTTTGTCGCTTTGTCGCCGCGACAAATAGTTTTTATTTTTCTTGGTTTTTCTGTAGCCGACGACCTATTTATTGCTGGCGTTGCCACACATTCAGCAGCTATACATACATACAAAGCAAAACGCGAAGATGGCTTGAAAAAAAGAATATGCATATGTTTGTATGTGTGTATATAAGTATAGATGAATACATATGTATGTGCATAACCATACACTTACATACATACATACATAAATACGCCCCTTTTGTGCAGTGGAATGCATAGGCAATAGCCCGCCCTATTTCGATGTACTTTTTATCAGTCATACAGGGCAGACATATATATGTATGTATGTATGTACATACACACAACCTCACACAAACACACTCACCTACAATGCGTATCTGGCTGATAGTTTTGTTTGCTCAGCGATAAAGTCAATTAGCAAAAAACAACTCGAGTGCAAAAGAGCTCGAAAAAAAAAAAGAACAATAAAATTGAAGTGAGTAATTAATTAGCTAAAGAGCTACCACACGGCACTCCGAAGCCAAGCCCCACCTTAACCCCCTCTCACAAATTTTCAAATATTTTGTTTCTTTTCCTTCTCAATTAGGTTTTTCTCTCTACTTAGCTATATTTACAGTTCGCGCTTTGTAATCTAATCGATCGATGTACATACATATTAGAACTTGGCCAATTGCCTATTTTATCGGCGATGATGCAATGAAAAGGGCGGACTAAAAGTACAAAGAGTATCTGCAAGATACACAATGAACAAAGTCATAAACACAAAAATGTATGCAACAACAGTACGAAAGTATCTCTAAGATGTAAAGTCTATAAAAGAAAAAGTATCCCTTAGATAGAATAGTATGAGAATCATAGATGCATCTACAATATGCAGGAGAAATAGATGAGAAGGTATCGATAATATATCAGAGCCTATATCTTGTACAAGAGCCTATAGAGTATCTCTAACTTAAAGAGCTCATGGATACAAAAGTATCTGCAAGTTACAAAGGCCATAAGTATGAATGCGATACACAACTACAAGAGCGCCTTATAGATAAGATACTTTGGTGACTTAAGCCCTTCCCACCTTGAAATGTTTGGCAAGCTAAAACACTCGTTCGTTAAGGCGATTTAGCTATCCCTCTCTCATCTCATCTCTCTCTCTCTCTCTCTCTTTCTCGCTCTCCTGCACAGTACGTGACGCTCAGCTCACCGCAAAATTGTGTCCAACTGTCAGTCGTATCTCTGATTTATATGTGTACGTGTTGTAAATCCCTGCATACAGCACCGAATAACAAATACACTACAAAGTATCTGTAGGTGAGCATGACTAAGCGATACTTGGAGTGCTGCAAGAAAATACCCTAACAAATGGAAGAGTATCTATGTATCTATCTATCTATGTATAAGAGCTGATATTTTAACAATAAAGTAGTACAAGTGCTACAAATGTAGTATAACAGCTGAATATGGCATAAGAATTCAATATGGTGTACAATATGTAGTATAAGAGTTGAGTGAGGCATATTAATAGTATAGTATAAGAGTTTAAATTGGCAGCGAAAGAGTGTGGTATAAGAATTGAGCTTAATGTAGTATAAGAATCGCGTAGACTGCAGCATAGTATAAGAGTTGAATAAGGGCCGTATAACAGCATTGGCACACTTTTCATTCGATAGACAAGACTTCTAAGAGAAACCACAAGACATATATTTTTTTAGGCAGAATGTACGATGAATGTATATCTTTATTAGATATATATCGAATATATGGAGAGTTTTATATATAAATAGGCTACAGACACTTACAACTTTGTTATTCCTAGAGTTAAACATGCATTAAAACGAAAAATAAGGTTCCCAAAAAGAAACTGGATGAGCTTAAATAATATATGGAATAAATGTGTTGTGCGATCGATAATTAATCATTAAAATAATCGACAAATATTAATATAGATGTAGATAGCACAAAACATTTCTAAACTCGCTACATTAGAAAAGTATTTATACAATTCAAGTTAGTTGATTAAAAGAACTTATTGTGCTCATAGGAAACTTTAAGTTAAGTTAAAATAGTTAAGAGCTAATTGACTTATGAGTAAGTTTAGCTTATAGCCATTAATCAATCTGATCTCTCGGGGCTGGACATGGGATCACCGCCGAAGGTCACCTCCTTGGGGGCATACGAAACGGGCGGAGCCATCGACTCCTCCCGCCGTCGCTTCTGCTCCCGCAGAGTGCCGAAACGTTTGTTCCGCTTCATATTCGTAAACCTCACGTAGATCTTTCCTCTGCGCTCAGTGCGATAGAAGCACAACTGCTCCTTGGGATAGAGCTGGAGGATCTCACGCTCAAGTAGATGACTTCGTTGCAAGGTCAAATGCAATCGATTATCCTCGTAGTAGCTGCAAATGAGCTGGATCAAGAGCAAACGCTGCACCGCATCCAGCTGTTCATTTTGTCCGATTCTCTCGAGCAGCGATTGAGCCTTGACGGGCGACGCTTGCAAGATGGAGAGCACCGTAACACCGCTCTCCTCGCTGCCATCCGCATCGGTCATTATTTCCGGCTTGATCAGATCCGCTGTCACCAGTTCCGTGTGAACTAGTTCACTGTGATCGCCCAGGGGTAACGGCACATTAAACGTCCCCCCATCCGTCATCTCATTGAGCGAAACGAACGGCTCGGAGGGCAATTGCTTTGCTCTCTCATCGCCCAAATTGCTCTTGGAATGACTCTTCGCTAAGTTCGTCGAGCAGTTGCAGCCGCTGCAATGAACGCTACCGCTGCCGCTGCCGCTGCCAGCGGCGCTGGTGCTGCTGCCAGCACCGCAATTCTGCTCGTCCTGCAACGGTACATTGAGCCAGCGACGCCAACGCTCCAAATGATGTTCAAAACGAATTCGCGTGCCGTAACGAAAGTTGCGCAGCAGCTCGTTCATATGATGACGCTTCAGCATCTGCAGCTCTTGCGTATTGATTGCCTCTTCTAAATTTGTTTTTTCGTATAAGAGAGTACAAGTATAAGAGTCGAACATTCGCTAATTTCTTTTCATATGTCTTTTGTGTTTGTTTACCTTGCAAATATGGCAACAGCTCGCTGACGTTCCAAGACTTTAACAGTTGCGACAGCTCCTCATACTCATTGCTCTTTGGCGTATTATCCGCATACATGTGTGTGTGCATGTCGAAGCTGTGCATGCCTATACGTATATATATGTATATGCGTTCGTTGGTATGTATGTACAGCCTACAACCGGGCGTACATCCTTTCGTCACGAACGAAACAGCGGCACTGAATTTTGCAACAGGCGCGAAGCGCGTACATACCCTCCGCTATACCTGCATGCCAAACACACACATATACACACTAATGCAGCACTCACTCTATGCCTGTGTGTGTTTGTGTGCTTGTCTGTTGTTGTCGCTGTTTGGTATACACGCTGCTATGTATGGAGTTACATACATACATAGTACAGTCATGCCATCGTTTGTTTCATCGTTTCGTCGTTTCGTTGCTTGTTCGCGTTTCGTAGTCGTCGTCGTCATCGTCGTCGCAGTCGTCGTCGTCGACATCGCTTCAACGTACTTATGTATGTATGCATACCAGTGGCGCAGCGGCAAAAAGGGATTATTTTTCAACTAACTATTACGAGTGAAACCAAAGTATTCAATTCAGCCTTTCTGTTTATATTTAATCTATGTCAATTGATCAATGAAATGATGATAAAATGATTTTAATATTTTGATACATATTTTTTTAGTATTACATATAACTAAAATTATATTTCATAAAATTTTTTTCTGTCTCATAAATTTGTTTATTCTTAAAAAAAAGAAAATATTCTGCATACTTAATTCATATGCTGAATTTCACTAGTTCCCTGCAAAAATTTGGTGAACTACGCCACTGCTACTACACGAATGTAAGTATGTTTACATAATATTCAAACATGTGTTATGTATACATAATACACACGTGCATAGCATACATACATATGCCCACATACACACGCCACTTTGCATTAATGTTGTTGTTATGTAAATAACTACATATGTACATACATACAATTATACTTATGTACATGCATAAATGCAAGCAAACACAAACACACATACACTCACGCGCATATAAATGAATATGTATGTATGTATGTACCGTTGATAAAAAGCTGTTTAAATATTCGCACTAAACATTTGAAAAAGAAAACGAAGTCTGGCAGGCAGAAAAAAAGTCTGGTAACGCTGGCAACAGTTGAACAGTTGCTGTTGTTGTTTTTGTTGTTTCTGCTGTTCCTCATCGGCGATCGCTTATGCGTGGCGGCGAATTGAACTAGTGAACTGTTCGCTCGCATTTGCTCTCTTTCCTTCTCTCACTTTTCATTCTCCTTTTTTTTTTTTGTTGGCTACCACCTTTCAGCACTGACTACTGTGCGCCCCGCCCCCTGCCCAACCGCACGCCTTTTTGTTCTATTGCAATGCCGTTGCGTTTGCCTTTAGCCTGTTGCAGCTGTGCAGCTGTAAGCGCTCTCTCGTCGCCCTCCGCTCTTCGCTCTTCGCCGCAACTCAAACAAAATCAACTTAAAGACGTTCGGAACTGGAGTTGGGCAAAGGGAATGGCCATGGGAGTGGGAGAGGGAAGCATGTGTAAGGGGGCGGGGTAGAGGCATCGTAGCCGGTTGCTGCTTGTAAAGTAGCCAAGCACTACGCAGGTTCATCGAACTTCTTTTGTAAATGTTTTTTCTTGCTTTTCGTTTTCTTTTTTTTTAGTTTTTTGGTTTACTTGGCCTGCTTTTTTTTTGGTCGCTGCTGTTGTTATTGTTGATTGGGCTACAAAAGACTTTGCAGTTGCTTCACCCAACTTTGTTGTTTCTTTTTTTTGTTGTCGTCTTCTTTTTCGTGTGTTCGCTTGTGGGCTTGGTTCTTATGACGCGACGCTCAGGCAAAGCGCGTTCAAATGATTTCATTATCTTACATGCATACATACACATATACATATGTATGTATGTGTGTATGTGCATACATATATGCTTAAGTGTTTGCATGCATGTAAATAATTACGTACATACATACAAATGTAGGCATGTTTGCATTAGCAAGACGGAACCTCAGCTGGGGAATTTCCCAGCGACTCACTTTTCAACTACAAATTTCCCCGCAAGCAAAAAGAATTCCCTGTGAAAACAATGAAATTCCCTGCAAATTCACTTTTGTTAGTTCTTTGGGCATTTCTTTATTATTCTTCTTCCCTGTTTCAATTGAGCTGGGAAAACTCTGTAACTGTCGAACACCCTACCCAACGCGCTCATTAAAGAACATACAAAAAGTACCTTTCTTTCTGAATAAAAACTCTAATGAGCTCATTTTTTTCTATTTTGAAAGTCTTTCGAGTTGAAATTCAAGCGGTGCTCATTAATTATTGCAGCAATGCGTTCGCATCTTCTTAGCAGGCACTGTATTCGGTTACCAATTAAGAGGAAATTGTGGAAAATTGTTGAACATTGTGAAACATTGTGCAAACGAATGAAAAATCAAGTTTAGGCCAAGTCAAAGCTGCTAAAGACACTAATTAAGTGCTTAAATGGATGTTTGGAATATCAATTTCGTTGATTAATCAAAAATTAAAAAACAATGCCAAAGGGAAGCCCACAGTAATGGAAAAGTTAATTAAGAGCTGATTGAATAAGCTGTTTAAAATGAAAATAAAGAAATCGAGGCTAAAATCGGAAGAGATGTGTAGATATATGTAGTACATATTATAAACATAACTGAAGGCCCTAGCTGGAAGCTAACTTCTTATAGCTACATGTATAATATAATTATAACATAATTAAAATCGGCTCTATCTATGGATTCAAAATTAATGAACGGGTAGTCCAGCTGATTCATTAAATTCATTTAAAGTCATCAACTATTAAATAAATTTTAGCTCTATAAAACCGAATTTGTTATACTGTACTTTGAAAACCTTTTAAATTTTATGGTAAATGCACCTAGATCATTTTTGGGCTCTAAAAATGTATGGTATAACAGTTTGTGCAGCATAATATGTATGATTGTATAACAATAATATATATGTATATATATAGTTACGAGCTGCATCCATGTTCATATGCTATAGTACATATTAAATTTTTTGAATATAACAGTTCAATCTAGCTTCATAGAATATCATTTACGATTTATGCTGCCGTATAACAATTTATGTAATCTAAGCATACGAGGATAAGTGACAATTGGCATCTGCTATAAATCAAATCAAATCAAATGCATACAATGCAATGACTTCATAAACCTGAATAGCTCAACTGATTTGGAATGGAAATGGTCATGAAAATACATCAAGTAACAAAAGACAGAATGAAAGAAATAAGGAAGGAAAGAAACCCCCCATATGTATGTAACTTCCTTTGCAAACTGGTTTTGTGTGTGCTTAAGATACGCATAGATACTTTTGCCTACCCTCCCCCCGGATACATTGCGTGTGACGCATAAACCAAATGCGATTGCGTTTCTGCTTCGCATTTCGCTGCAGGCAGCGCGCAATAAGACGCAATATTTATATAGAAAATAACTTCAGGTAGCATCGGAAAATTAGACAAAGGCATAACACACACACATACACGCATGCATGAAAATGTTGCTGCTTAAAACATGCGCAGTAGCATCAGATACGAGGGGTTTGCAACAGGGTGGCAAAATAACCAACAACAAAAAGTATATGGAAAAGAAGAAAGCAGTTAAGAACTTGCAATTAGGATGCATGGGAAATTTATTAAAAATCAGCACACTGGGTCGCTCGCTTAGCAACAGCGAGAGTGGGAGAGGCTGAGAGAGAGAGAGAGCAGAGAGGAAGAGCAGAGCGGCAGAGCGGCAGAGCCTATGCAGCAGAATTCGCCGTATAAAATGTTGTGCATAGCTGATAACAAGGCGAAAGCAAAGGAGAGGGACAGAGAGGGCGCGAGTAAGCTTTCAAATTCGCTCAGCTAAATTTTGCATAACCGATAACGACTCGAGTCGAGTTTCCTAATAAAATTCATTACGGAAATAAGCAGCGCAGTATAATAAGCCACCCACATAGGCATAAATACACACATAATATGTATGTATATACATAAATGCATACAAACATACATATATGTATGTATGTCTGCATGTGTACGTACATTTGGCTGCCCCTTGAGTTCTTGTTACATTATCAAAAACGCTAACTGCGCAGCTTTTTTACTTTTCCGCAGCAACAGCAACAGAACCAGCAGCGTCGCAATTTTGTTGTTTTCTTGTTCATTTCCAAGCAAATTTCCTTCCAGCGCGCTGATAACGGCACATGTCCAACACCAAACGCTTGTGCTGCGGCTTAGTCCAATAAGCGAGACATGCTGCGACTGCAGACAATTTTCGGGCGGCTTAGTGAGCTTAAAAGCTGCGTGACGACGAAGACGACGTCGACGACGACAGTGACGCCAGCAATAACGACGGCGACGACGAAAGCATTGTGTGTTGCTGTTTGTCTCTCTGGGTGACCTACACTGGCTTCCCCTGCGGCAGCACACAATCACACACATGCATACATATGTGAACATGTATGTACATACATATATGCATGTATGTATGTACGATAACTGCATATAAAAAGCACATATGTATGTTTGTATATATGTGTGTATATATGTAACGCATTTTTCGGTTGAAAACTGGATGGTCGCTGAGCGAAAGGCAAAGGCTGTGCGCACCATTCGCCAATGATTATTCGCTGGCATTAGACGACGCGCATATTCCAACAGCTGGAACGGAACGAAACGAACAGTTAGCCAGGCAGTTAGCCAGCCCAACTGGCAATTGTTTTGTGGGGTCAGTCAATAAAATCATTCCCAACAAGGCAAAACGGTAAAAGTTCAGCGGAAAGATTTTCAAAAATATAACAAATTTATATAAATATATAATATAAAACAAAGAAGTGTCATAAAAAAATATAAAAAGAAAACTTTAGCTGCGTTTATGCGAAAATCCCTAATCGTGATAAATAGTTAAATTATGAATTATGAGAAAATTAAATATATTTATGTAATTTACGGGACTGTTACGAAAATGAAACAAATGAAAGCTGGAATGCTGTTTAACTACGAAAAGCATTTTTATCACGATTAAGGAATTTCACCTAAATGTATAAATTCATTAAAAACTAACAATAAATTATAATAACTGTAAGTATAATTGTGTTATACCAAGTATATAACAGTGTATTATCAAGAATTTGTAATGCAATTTTAGCTAAGCTGAATGTTATACAGCAGTAGAGCAGAGGAAAAACAATTGAAGGCTAGGCTTATATATTTAGTTATACATGTGAGTATAACAGTTTAGATTTCTTCAAACTAATTTTCAGCTATACTCGACTCAATTCGAGTGTGAAATAAGCTGAAGGTTAAGCTCAGACATCTTCTGTTAATCAATGCTATGATAATTCATTTGGCATTTCCCTTTTTATACAACAAAATTTCCCATTATCAAATGAACACAATATTGAAACTTGTACTTGGAATTTGAACCGAAAATGAGCTTCCCAACAGCCCGTCTAATTAATCACTTGTGCACATTTCAAGGTTTTCCAGTTGTTAACTATATAGTAGTAGTATACATCTATACAGATATGTACATATGTATGTAAATATTATATATATTTACCTATACTACAGTCAAGCTATAAATTAGAATTTTAAAGTTCAACAGCGCAAAGCTGCGGCTTCATTGTAAACCCAGTCCCAAACTTCCCCAACTACAAATTACAAGCACACATTTTACTATATATATGTATGTATGTATACATACATATATACATATATATATTAACACACACATTCGAGCAGAACTAGAGAAGCTCAATTAAAACGAACGGACGTGCACGAAAACATGTTTTCAGTTGCTGCTTTTTATCAAAGTGCCCTCTCTTATTACACCTTGTCAGCTATATAAAGGGGGTATGAGTCTTATGTGAAAAACTAGTTAAATGGTAGAAACAAGTACTAGAGCTTACCTAGCTAATAAGCTTTTAATTAGAGTCCATTAAAAAAAATAACATATGTGTATATATTTGAAAGGTTACACTCCATAAAACTAATGGCAAAAGGGCATAGCTAAAAAGTTTTTGAATCACCAATAAACCCTATTACAGGGTAGCACGTAGTCGGCTACACAAGCCATACACTTCAGCTGGCTGATTCCAGATATGACAGTTATCATTGGGGGAAAACTCACTGGGCAGCTGTATACTACTACTACTACATATATACGTATGTATATACGTACATTAATGCATGCGTACATATGCATATGTACATATCACATCGGATGAATACCATTAGCTTATGCACTGACAGCTGATGTGACCACTCGAGTTGACAAGTAAAAAGGTTTTACAAACGAAAAAAACAAAACTTTCTAAAAAGACCAGCTGTTTTATACGATTTTATAGTTAGAAACAGGAAATATTAGAATATATTACATATGTATATGTGTGTACATACATACATACATATGTAGGTCAAGTAGAGTCAGAGATAAACAAAAGCCTGACATAATTTTTGTCACTAAGAGAGCCACAGAGAGAGAGAGGAAGACGGGGTGGAAAGGACGCAATTAGGCGCATAGCTATCTATGGCGTGCATATAATTCACATAATTGCTAAAGCTACAACTTTTATAGCCAAACTTACCATAATAAATCAATTGCTTTTTATTCCTCAAAAATTCCCATTCGAATGAATGCCTTAAGTCCTAACTGCATTTCATACGCTGTATTTGCGTAGAGAGCTTTCAAACGGTGCATTACAAAAATTAACACGCACATCATAAACGGTTGTTAGATAAGAGCGAATGAAAGGGGCGTGGAGGAGCAATTGGAGAGAGGAGGCGAGGGCAACGCAGCACTAAGTGTAGAGTTGTAAGTGAAAAAAATATAGCTGTGGATACGAACAAATTCGAGATCGTGCTTGCAACGCATTAACTTTTAACCGAAAAAAAAACACGCACAATCGCACACACATCTATATTCACAGATTTCTTTGTCTTTGCATTTGGTCAGCTTGTGGTTATATGTAAACTAAATGGAATCACATGCAATACACGTTTCGCTCGTAAAGGCGGCAAAAGACTAAAAGAATGAACGAATGCCAAAAAAGGGAAGGGGGAGAGAGAAGCAGAAAAACGCATGCAGAGCTATAAAGCATGCACATAGGCGTCGTAGAAAGGGCAGGGGTGGAGCAAAGGAGAGTTAAGTAGGGGTCAGCTTTCTTATTTTAACGAGCGTGCGTGGCTTTTAATTTTTGAACATAAAACGTAAAACGCAATAAAAATCAAGAGAAACAACAACAACAACATGAATAATAATATTAATAATAATGGCAGCTGTGGCGTCATCGCCAAAAATTTTATGTTGCGTCTCTTGGAACTGGTTTGATTTGATTTCGCTTTAGCTTTGATGTCGTCATCACTCAACAAAACGCAGGGAAGAAGAAGAACAATGAAATTAGTCATTTGATGCAATTTCCGCCCACTTGATGTTAGCAGCAGTAGCAGCTGCTATTGCAGCTGCTGACAAGTGCAACCAACAACACCAAGAGCAACGTAGGCGAAGTTAATAAGCAGCAGAGAGGGGTGGCCATGCAGTGAGAAAGAGAACGAGAAGACCAAAGCAGGTTGTAGAAGAAATAAAAAGAAAAACGCGCGCGCATTTGCACCAATAACCCAGTTTCTGTTTCTAGTTTGCACTTAGCGGGCATACAAAAGCTCTGCTTCTGTGTGAGTGTGTGTGTATGTGAATAACATGTGCAATGTGGTAGGCACAAGAACTCAACACGAAACTAAGAAGAAGCAGAGAGAATAGCAATGCAGCGAAAAAGCAAAGCTGTTATTGCTGCCTTTCGTTGAGTTGGCTGTTGTAAATAACAAGTTTTCTAGTAGTTGTGCAAAGTGATGACACACTTTTTACAAACACACACACAAACGCTGATTGGCAACTATATATATATACATGTATGTACGTGTTCAAATATATGTATATACATACATACATATGTATGTAAGTGCGCTGAGTGCTTCCTGCGGTCAGCCATTAAACTAATCAGAGCCACTCGCTGGCACACTTTCTACCACACACAGCTGCACGTTTTCTAATTAGATTTGGTTTTCATCAAGTTGTTTTTTTTTTTTTTTGCATACGCCCACTCTGCGTTTTATCTTTGCAATTTATCTAAGCATAAAAAGTCTGCATATACTTCTTTTCTTTTTCATTTCATGACTCTCTACTTTGATACAAATCTTTTCATTGCGTTTCAATGGAAAACGTCAAAGACGGAAAATTTTTGTTAACTAAGTGGCGCGTCAAAACTACAAAGCTACAAAGCCGTAGCAGCAGCAACACAAAAAACATAAAAAAAAGAGCAACAGCAACAACCACAAATTGAATGTGTGTCAACGACAAAACTACACCAATACACACGCACACATACAGCATACATACACATTCTCTCTTATGTACGATTGTAAAGAGCTTTCACGAAGCTTGAAGCGCTGCTCTCCCATATCCACATATATATGTAAACATGTATATATGTATTACCATACTCAGACACAGTGTAATACATACATAGCTTATATTTACTGTACTTACGCGCGGGCTTATATAAAACTGGTTTGTCGCCGTGTTGCTGTCGCTGGCGTCGCCGTCGATTCATTCGTGCGTTGAACGTTGGACCGTGCGGTTCGTAGTACGCTTGCAGCGCCTTAACCAAAAAATATAAAACCAAGTGTAAAAGAATAAAACCAAAAAGGAGAGCACTAACACAACAGAACAAAAAAAAAAAAAAAAAAAAAACTACTCAAAAGAATCTGTTGTTGCTAACGTCAAAAATAGTCGAATAGTGGCGCGGCGGTTGGTGGTGGCTTTGTTGGTGGTGGTTTTTTTTCTAAGGAACTTTGCCTCAACAGACTTTCATGTACATGTGTATGCATATGTGTGTGTGTATGTACGATTTACACCATGTGTATCATGTGAGCAATAAGAACTGAAAAGAAAAAAGAATGAAAAAATAAAACGTGTTCATAAAATTTAAACTTTGTCAAAAAAAAAAAAAAAAAAAAAAAAAAACAACCGCGCATTACGTAAACTCGCGCGCATTTTCTAGAAAAAGATAATAAAATAAATATCAGACGTAGAAAAATGGAAGAGAAAAGAGAGGTGCCGAAAAAACTGCAGCAAAAAGAACCAGGAACTTGAATGACACATTTTTGAATCGACTCGATGACAATTACGCAACTTGCAAATGGCGCAGAGTAAAGGGGAGAAAAAACAGCAAAACGGGGATTGCCATCTCGCTCTAGTGCCAGCAGCGTTTGCTCGTTGATTAAACACATTTCGACATGGTTTGAATGGCCTTTGCATGTGCTTTTTATTATCGGATGACGGCAAGTCTAAAAAATATGTACATGTGTGAGTGTCTCTCTGTGTGCGTGTGTGTATATATTTGTGTATGTATGTACTTGATTACATATTTCTTCACCTAAATTCGAAAGAGAAAAAGCTCCGGGCAACGTCATAATTTATAAAACCACACATACATACACTTAACCACACAAACATAACACACCACACACATCTATACGCGAATTCTAACGAAGCGCTTTCGGTTCGTTAAGTTGGCTTTTCGTCGAGTTTCGCTCGTGTGCGCGCCGCTGATTTCGGCAGTTGCTTTGTGTTCGCTCGCGCCATTTGCAGCTGCACAGCGAACAAAGTTGGCCGCGTTTTTGGTATCGGCTTCCAACAGCGCCTAGCTACACAAGGGGCGAGCGTTACAAAAATCTAATGGAATTTTTTTTTTTGTATTCCACTCGCCTAACGTTGCTCTCTTTCTCGATGATTCGTGTATATTTGGTTTACAAGTTTCCCATACAATTACCTCTGCCTGCTTCTTCTATAGTTGGGAAGCTGTGAGCGGTTTATTATTTGTATTTATATATGTATTTTTTTTATATCAACAACGTACTGCAACCTATGTGGGAGCGAGACGGGGACTCACTGTGATTTTTATATAGTCAGTCTTTTTCTCTCTCCTATACAAATTGCGGGCGTATCAACATGTTAAATCTCGAAACTTGGAATTGTGTTAAAAAGTTAATTAAGAAAAAGTGTGATACTAGTAATTAAAAAAACTATCTTAAGTTGGAATATGTTTGTAAACTTTTTTTGTCGCTCACTCCAAATTAATATAATAATAAAAAATAAATGCTATTGAAATATTTTCTTTTATTACACACACGCATTTTATCATTCCACCAAAAAGCACACGTACACACACAGGCGCTCAGCCAAACGCATGCATCTTTCTAGCTCTGTCGCACACATACACTTTTATCAAATGTGTGTACGCTTTTTCCACGAACAAGAAAGCGAGAGAGGCAAGCGCTGAAACCGTTACGACGCGACGGCTATGAACAGAACAAACGGTCGCAGTCTGTTTCTGCTGTTGCTGCTTGGTGTTGTATTTTCTTGTTGCTAAGTCTGCCAATGAAACACACATACGCGCACGCATATGTTTCTGTATGTGTGTTTGTGTGTGTGACGCATAAAAACTGTACAATGGGCAGAAATAGGAAATAATAATTTTTTCCTAGTTTCAAAGAGAGCAACAAATAGTAGGCAGTAGACTATGTGTGTGTGAGCAAGAGTGTAAGAGAGGAGGGTGAGCGTGTGTGCAGCTATGTCTGTATGAGTATTTTATCGTTGACGAAAGTTGATTAAGAAATCAATTGGAGAAAGCTTTTTTTTTATGTCTTTGAGGGAAGTTGATTTTAACACCTGGCACATTGTCCAATTAGCCAAATGCTGCTAAAACCAATTCGAATTAGAAATGGAAACACAATCTTGGCGATCTTTCAATTTAAAATAAACAAGTTTTACAACACACACACACACACGCTCGCAGCCAAGGGCTCGTGGACAGGTGCGATGTGCAAACAGGGAAAAATTTTGTGTCTGTTTTCTCATTGATCATGTGGCCGCTATAATAAGGAATATAATATATATACTTATATATATTAATCGTCTATTCCCAGCAATTGTTCAAATGACTAAGAAACTGCATTTGAATAGCTTTTCATTGTTGTTGGTGGTGATGCAATTTTCCTGTTTGCGAATTATTTATAAATTATATAAAAGTGCTTTGTTTAGATTTTGCTTTGTGCTTTTACCTGTCAGTAAGTCAAAAGGGGACACGGCCTGATCATTAAATAAAGTATTCAAATGGAACCGATTTGCACGATATGCTGTGGGAGAGATAGAGGGGGAATATGTGAGAGAGAGAGAGAGAGAGAGATGTAGACTATGTAAAAAAGTTGTGGGCTATTCAGATTAGCATGATGCCTTGTCTAGCGGTTCATTAAAAATTTAATAAACCTAAGTAGAAGATACGTATATGACAAACGTCTCAAAGCAGTGTTGTAAAATAAGAAAATTTGATTCAAAGGGTTAAAAGAATCAGGCGACATGTAAAACTAAGTAGGAATGATTCCCCATATCAATCGGTTAGGTGTATAACAAATATGTCAATCTTCAGCAACAGTGTTCTGAAACTTTAACAGTGTAAACAAAAAATGCAAACTGCATTCTGTTAGTGTTGTTAAATTGTATAGAAATAGGAATCTCTGGATAGAGAAACCTATTGATTTGACTTCTGGGAAGCGCATATGCTATTGTAAAACGTAAACTGAATCGAATGTAAGTATTGCATGTGTTGGTAAACCACAAAAAAAGGTAATTCAAAGCCATTTTGTTTATATGAAAATTAAGTGAATTCATGGAATATAACATTATCAACTGGAAAGATCAAGTTTTATGCATTTTAAACAATTAATTCATGGTAAAAAAAATATTAGTAATTGTAAAAATGTTACAAACAATTAATTCATGGGAATTGCTATGAAATGCAGTCAGATAAATTTAATTGACTCATAGTTGTATATAGAGAGCATGTGCAAGTGTGTGAGCTATACGATATGTTAGATATAGACTTGCATTTAATTTGAATTATTATACAAGCTTTGCAGTTGAGAGAAGAGCGAACAAGTTGCCTTCACATCACGTACATCGTTTGTATGTATAAATTTTGCATTGAAACTTGAAGTTTAATGAATTGTTCAGAGATTAACGGGCATAAGGCCTTCAAATAATAATATAGAAATATATATGTGTATAGGTATGTGTGTGTATAAAAACCCACACACATACAGGGGGCCCTGACTAACAGCGACAAGCAAGCCAAACAGTTTCTCAGACCCAGGCTGCTGACCTTGGCGGAGGCAACTTTAGTTAGACGACGGCAACGACTCTGAATACAAACGGACAGACAGACAGATCTGTCTATATGCATAGCTACACACTCACACACACTTACACACGCACACACTCATGTATAGCACATATATAGAGACATTCAGTTACTCATTAGCAAAACGCGTTCGACTCCAAAGTACGTTCTGCAAGTAAATATTCAACCTATTGGCTAACAGATGACGCCATTTTGTAGCTGTAGCTGCAGAAAAAAAAAATGTATCTGTGCCAGGTAAATATGTCTCAGAGAATGTATCTGTGACAAGTAAATATGTTTCACCGAATGTATGTATATGTGCCATGCAAATATGTCTCAGCGAATGGATCTATATGGCTCTATCAGAATTACCAAAGTATCTAAGACTTTGATCAGCTGTATCTGCGTGTGAAAAACTATTTCGCAATGTATCTATAACTATACCTATGACTCTAAATTAACTATATAAAGATGTACCTCGTATTCTAACTGCAAATAAATATATCCCTTATATCCCTTAATAAGATTGTATGTGTAAAACGTAAGTATTATTATATCTTTAACTAACAATTAATACCTAGAAATTTTATGGAAGCATGTAAGTGATTATAATTGAAGAAACATCTACAAGTGTATCTCAAACAGAGAATCTTTCTATAACTCTATTTCTGTATCTGAAAATGTTCTTATAACTTCATGTATTTGTCGCTGAAGCTGGATCTGATGGAATGCATATCAATTTGTATCTTTATGTGGTTTGCATCTATAAACGTATATAGATTTGTATCTTTAGCTTTATCTTTTATCTGTGTCTGTATCTGCATCAATCGACAGCTGCAAGTATCTGTAGGATTTTGGATAAGCATCTGCAAACATATATGCATCTATATGTATCTTAACCTATAATGGATATATCTATCACACCAAGCGAACCCCAAAGCATCTTATACTTGTATCTATGTGTATCGAGATCTGTAGTTACAAATGTTATCAGTTATATATATACCTTAATAGAGATATGCCAATGTATCTGTACGTAACTCTCTCAGTATCTGTATATGGCTGTCTGTGTGTGTACAGATAATATTTGCCATGCCTCTGTATATGTAACTGTATATGTGTCTATATCTAAGATTACTATCTCTATCTCTATCTGTATCTCACGATCTTCCAGCTAACATGCACACATTCTTATCGAAATTCCAATCAGACACTTAATACCATCCAGCTCTCTCGCTCTCATTCAAATTGCTCCACTCGTTGCCAGCTGTAATTATAATCCTGCTCTCAGAGCTCAGTTTTCTGTTGGCTTTAAGCTGAAGCCGCAAGCAAAAGCTGCGTATGCTTTGTAGCTTTAGCATTAGCTGTTGCTCTGGCTGTATCTGTATCTTGTAGTTTCTCTATTCCATACAAACGCTCACATTTTGGCATTTAATAAGAAGTTGGCCTTGAAGCGACGAGCTCAGTGAGTGAGTGCGAGTGCGAACGCGTGTGTGTGTGTGTGTGTGTGTGTGTGAGTGTGAGAGAGGTTTCAAGTGCCTTCTGTGCCGACTGTGGGATCATTTGTATATGCACATAGAACGTGTAGAGTAAACATACATAAATATATGGCTAGCAGCGTCTAGACTTTGATAAATGGGATTAGATGCCCGCAACTGTAGGAGTCTAGCAACCAGTTGAAGCTTAGCCAAATATTTTCAAAATGTGGCTCTGGTCAGAAAACAGATTGTGGAATCCATTTGGATGGCATTTGGTTGAACTAAGTGAGCTTAGCAAAGTCTTTTATAACACTGGTCAAAACTTGTAGAAGTTTTAGTAATTCAAAAGATTTTGACATCAATTTTGAATGCGATAAATTAGATTAGACTAAGCAAAAGTATTTACAGCTTTAGTTAATTATATAATCTTATTTGATTCAATTTAATTCTTTTGTCTTTTGTAGTGTAGGAAAGTCAACACTACGTAACCTGATTCAACCCTGAAATTCTAACTTATATTTCGCTTAAACTCTAATTTCTTTAGCTCTATCACACACAGAGTACTTCAGACCTTACCAACACTACTACTATTAGTTATTACAGCAATTTGATATTCATTTTACTATACCTATATATCAATTCACATCTAAATTTAAGAGCTTGAACATCCCTTAGATCATTCCCATTTCCCACACGCATAATATCAGAAACAGTTGAAATGTTTTATTCTACAGCGGAATGCATACTTTTAGGCTTACAGGCTCGAGGAAAACTGTCAACTACATATATTTTATATAGTCAGTATTTAACGGCCCCAGATCTCAACGACATCCTTGATGCCGTAGCCACGCTCCGAAGTAAACTGAATGGTAGCGCCCTTCGAGCCGGGTCCGCCAGAAACAAGCACAGCCGTAGCTCCGTGGCTCTTCTTCTTGTCGGTCACCTTAATGGCCGTAATAGTCAAGGCATCCAAATTATCCTAGACACAACGTGGAGAACATCTTATATAGATATATATGAACTTGAGGTCGTCTCACTACGTACTTTCTGCTTGAACACATATTTCTTAGTCTGCACCAGACCCACAAAGAAGGCCTTCGACACCGTATCCTTGGCCAGATGATAATCGTTGGGTCCTATTTCGCCCCAGAGATAATCGTTGCCAGCATGAACCGTGGCGAGGCCCACAGCGCAAAGCAAGAGGCCAACTAGCGTTATGGAATGGAAGCCCATCTTTCTAGCAATTGGAGAAGTATTGGGTGGAATGAGTAGACGGCGATTCGCTTTGGCTCTTTTATTGCAAAAACAAGGGAATCAGAAGACAATTTGCTATCGCTTTGATTACCAACTCAAGTGCTTAAGGTAGAGACCCCACGAAAGCCAATTAGGGGACCGAAAGCAATTGCGTAAAACGAAATAAATTTGTTTTTATCTATTATCAATATATCGAGACCATATGTTCAACTGATATCGTTTAAGCTTTGCAGTCATTTGTGTAAGTTGTTTTTGCTACTGTTAATAGCTCTTACCCCCTAGCTATAGATAGTTGTACAAATTAATTAAGTACCGCTGGCTTACCTCAGCATGCTCCCCCAGTGTCTCTTTATAGTACTAGGTCTATTATCTAGCTACTGTGGTAGCTGTAGAACACTTTAAATTGAGTTTAAATTTAGACCTATCAAAATTCCTTATCAAAAATGTTTACGAATTCCAAAACTGTACAGACTGACAATGGGGCCCGTGAGCAACATAGGAGCGGTATTCAGCCTGAGCTCAGTTGAGTGGATCGAAAAGGAATAGATGGATAGTAAACTGAAACTGTAAATAAAGTGAGTAAAGAGGGCATCAGGGAATGATGGGAGTATAAATTTGAGCTTCTAGCTCTAAAGCGTCTTCCGATTTTCGATTCTTTCTATTTCATACGGGCCAACCATATTTTTTATTTCTAAATTTCAACAGCAATAATATTCAATATATATCAGAGCTCGTATACGATCTATTGATAAGATCTATTATATATTCAATAGTGTTGCAAAACGAAAGAGTGAATTAAATTGACCTTCATTAAAAAGTTTCCTCAATAAAATTGGATTCCTGATTTATAGTGTTGTACAACGAAATGGGAATCAGAAGCCGAATGCAATGTAAAAGCTACGCTAAAAATGGGGTTAGACCTTCTCTTAGCTTGGGCAACAAGTTAAACAGAATCATTTGTTGCTGCAGCTGCAGCTGAACCAGGAAAATATGTTTTGTATAAAGTTTAGAAAATTCAAATGGAAATGTTTTTGTTTTACTCATTGTAGACACGCGAGGGTATAAAGTTTTATGCGAGTGTTGCGCCAGTTTTTGAAGCCATTTGTCGAATTGCCAGGCGTCATGCGAAATACGAATATGCGACATGCGACATGCGACATGCGACAGAGAACATGCGACGGGCGAGCTGCATGCGAGATTTATGGCGCCAAAGTGAAGGAGAATCCAATTCCTAGCCAAGAGCTCAAATGTTTTTGAGAACTATATGAATATGTATATGCGAGGGTGGCTACAAAGGTTTGTGAATATGTAAATATATATTTATTTAAATGATATAATCTCTTAAGCAGTAAAAGAAGTGTAATATAGGTTTCCTATTTTTCCTTGTCTCGAACTATGTATGATGTGAACCAGTTACATATATGTATACCGTCGTCTTATAGGGTACTAAATCTTGGAGGGCCATTTAAGAAGCTCGTCTATGCAGTATCGGGAATTACTAGTTATATATATTATATATATATAGTGTAGTCTAGCGTATTAGTATTAGTTTCTTTACACTTTTGTGTTATATTCTCCATAAACTGCCCAACGGCTTGGTTAGCCCTCGCAATATATGTACATAGTTTGGTATGTGACTATATATTGCTAAGCACTAGCTGAATTGCTGGCGTGACTTGGCGTCTTCACTGTTTGCGTGCTCACGATTTGCAACTGCAAACTTAGATGTATAAAGATATATGGAGAGATATATAGAGACTATATACAGACTACTATGTACATATATAAACGAATATGTATGTGTAATAAAGTGGGCGAGTCCTTAGACAATAAAAGCTGTAACTACAGCAAACAGAGCTGAAATGTAAAGCATATACTTGTACACATACATATATATAGTGTATATATATATTTTATGGTATATATATATATATATATATATATATATATATATGGAAGCCACTGCTAATTGCTATTAATCAGTCGTAGGCTGACGTCAGTTGACAGCCTCATTCAATCAGCAATTATGTCGTGCACTATTGACCGCAACAGCAGTAAAAGCCGTTGAGGCTGTGGCAGCTATAGAAGCAGCAGTAGTTAGTGTATTGTATATACATATGTACATATATTTATGTATATGTATGTATGCCTATTCGATTTCTGTGTAAGATCTGCCACAGACAAAGCCGCAACCACATGACAGCTGCTCAAAACGCAGCCACTTCAATTAGAAGCCACAGCAACCGCATGCAAGCCAAGTCGAAGTTTGAATGCTCTACAGGGGTCTTAGGAGATATAAATAGAAATATGAAATATATATGTATGTTCAAGCAACCGTCGTTATACCCGAAAGACGTAATAACCGTATAAGTTTACTCATTATAAGTGTGTCTGGGGACCGCTATAAACGGAGTCGTTATAACCGGATTCTACTGTATTTATATATATTTTTAAGATGGATTAAGGATGAAATCCGTTTAGGACAAAACCAAAATATTATTTTTTTCCATCTAAAGCTATTTATCTACAGTTATATTTAAGACTTCTGCAATATTGTTGTACTGGAGAAGAGTAGAGTAGAGTAGTACGATTATACGACGATATTATTACAGAGTACTATATCACATTTATCTTAATTTGCAGAACAATATATTGTTTTAGGCAATCCTTTCTAACATTTTAACGAAAGCTGTATAGAAATTACCATGTACCCTAGGTATATAGCGATTCACTCAGACCGTACCATATTCACATTCCACTGAGCATTCAGAGTACATCAAATACATAATTAGATATATAGATCGAAGATGAGATTTAGTTTAATTATATAAAATGAAAGACAGATAGCAAGTGTTCCATAATTATTAGTAAAATAAATGACATATAGTATATTTATATGGATATAGAGTTCGATAACTAATTAACAATGCGTGACACATCTATTCTCATATTCATAGAATTCTCTGTTAGAGCAGAGAAACTAGACTCTAACAATAATACGCCAGCTCAATGCTATGCAGTCATTTGTAAAGCGATTCAACAAAAATTTAAAACAATTTAGCTTATGTCACATTACGTTCAGAGAGTGAGAGAGAGAGAGAGAGAGGGGGGAGGAAAAGAGAGACAAAGAGAGACCGTGAGAGAGAGAGCGAGAGAGCAAGAGGTGCAGGGAGGTTGACAGCACAAAGTGCCGCGCAGTCAAACAAAAAATTGTATTGTGTCATGCTTGATCTCTGTACTATCCAAACACATATATCTATATCTATGCATATACATATATACATATGCATATATGTATATAGATATACATATCTGTATAGCACGTCTATGGCCCTGTACGCTATTTATACATGCACATATTTGTTTAGCTCAATAGTTTTAATTATAATTAACGCCGCATTGCAAATTAAAATTGCGCTCAACTCAACTTTTATTTATTTTTTTTTTCAATCTAATTGTCCGCTGTAAAATGCTAACAAGGACGTTGTCGGGGCTGGAAAAGGGAATTCAATTATATATATATATATATATATATACATGTATCTCTCTCTCTCTTTCTCTATATTCATATATGACAACCTGTTCATTACAACTAATAATATGATGTTCTATGATCTATGTAAGTATAGCTCTTAACTCTGGATTTTTACCTGATGTTCTCTAAGCTGGTTTTACTCGATTGAAATGTGAAATGCGAACAAAGCTCATTGAGTGGAATCATCAGAGTATTTCTCACTAGCTATTTAAGCTGTAGAAAGCTATACCTTAACCTTCATCTTCCACATATCCGAAATACATTATATATTGTATCAATAGATCCTGCTAATTCACCCATTGATAACAGATTTCTTGTAGCCTGAATTCTTATTAGCGCACTTGAAGAGCGAATAGAAAGTGCCTTTACTATATTTGTTATAGGAAATACCTTGGGCAAAACTCTGTACCCCAGCTTATCTTCAATTCTAGAATGTACTCTATTCTCTTTATGCTTTAGTTTCGGTTATCAATTGGAAATTTGTATTCTTATCTCTTAGCAAGGGAATGCCCTCAATATTCTTGATTTTCATTGATTAGCTATATTTTTTATTCAACTTTATTTACTATATTTATTCATGAACTTTACTTCTTCTGTTTGTGGAAGGTACGCCCTTATCGCTCTTTCATTACCTTTAACTACAAATACCTAAATTCCAAGCAATTCTCTAGCCTCTATTAGCTGCAACAAAGGAATATCACTTATGCATTCTATTTGACGCATAATAATTTTACATGCATATATAGCATTAAAAACTTTATTATCAGACATTAATGCATATGCTTTTCTTTCCTTACTTAGCCCCTTTTTACATAAGCCAAAGATAACGTGACATATTGAAAATTGAGCGAGAATTTCTACATAGAGCAATTTATCGAATGCGGCACGTACTTGTTCGCGCTGCTGCTGTTGTTGTTGCTGTTGGTATTCTCGCTTATCGCAATGGACATTAGCATGAGGCTTGTCAGTATTAGTTTAAAGAACTCGTTGCCCTCGACGCTCTCGACTTCCCCTACGACCCCTCCATAGATATATGTGGGTCAGGCCAGAGCGGAATGTCACCAGAAATGATGTGGCAACTGGCGATAAAGATAAAATGCAGACATGAACCGGAAGGGATACAGAGAGGGAGATGGGAATAAGAAGCGACACACATAGTGGGAAAGAGAGAGAGAGAGAGAGAGTGGAGAGATAGGAATAGTCAAAGTAGTGGGAGAATTCTCATAGAAGAGTTCAAGTAGAAGAGAGAGAGGAAGAGGGACAGAGAGATAGAGAGAGAGAGAGAGAGAGAGAGAGAGAGCGAGATAGAGAGGGAGTGAAGTATTTAGAAACAGATAGCAAAAGTGGGTTACAGGAGAAGAACATAGGGGGAAAAATTTGAAGTAGGAAGACATTTGTGTGGATGTAATAGGAAGACAGGGGGATAAAGACTGAGACTGGGAAGAGAAGAATATTATATTTAGAATAGGAGGGATAGACAGAAAATAAAGAGTGGAAGGAGAATTTGTAATTAAGAAAAGGATATAGAAGAAGAAGAATATAGAGAGGCTTATGAGAGAGAGAAAGAGAGAGAGTGAGAGAGAGGAAGTGAGAGAGAGAGAGACAGAGAAGGAGACACTAATAGGGTCGATGATAGCTAAAGTAAATGTAGAGGGAGTAAGCAGAAGAAAGAGATAGAAGTGCGCGATATATAAGGGTTACGCACGGAAAGCTGGGGTAGTGAAAAAGCTCAGGCAAAAGGCGGAATAAGGGAGAGCAAGATAGGAATTGGAGTAAAATGTTCTGTTGCGCATCCCAAGCGGATTTATGACACCAGCCGAAAACCAAAAATAAAGTGCTGCAAAACTGAGTGAGTTTTAATAATTGATCAAGCAGAGCCATAAAGAGAAGTATGGGCGGTATACTACCCAAAGGAAACAAGAGGAAGGGTCAGAGGTCAGGATGGTGGCGTGCTAAACTGGCATCAGGTAACTTCAGCAACAGCAGCAGCAGCGGCAGCAGCAGCAGCGCCAAAGGAAGCGTGTGAAATCCCATTTGGCTAATGGCCAACAACGTTGGCGCTGAGCGAGAGTCGCAAAACAGGAAAATCAACCTGTTTTATCCGAAAGCCTAAAGCGCCCAACCCGGTCGGTAGGGTAAAAGCTGGTTACGCTTTTCACGATTCGCCTCACACGTTTCACGTTTCGCATTTTCCGCGGCCCACTCAAAATTGGGGGCACAAGTACGAATGTCTCTGCGTCAAATATATGTATATGTGTGTATGTATGTATGTATGTATGTATAAAATGAAGTCGGAAAACTGGTTTCATGCCTTGTCGGGCCTGGCTTGGCCTGGCCTGCTGTTTTCCACATGACACGTTGGCCTGCTTTTCCTGTTTTCTTTTTTTCGCGAGGCGCCAGCTGCAGGATCATCAGCAGCAGACGAAACAGCAGCAGTGACTGTGGCAGCGGCAGCGGCAGAGCCAGAGCCAGAGGCAGAGGCAGAGGCAGAGGCAGAGGCAGGAGCACATTACACAACACAATCATTTCCAGGCCCTGCTTCCAGCTGCGGGGGTGGTTGCTGCAACAGGGTGTGTCAGGCATGGCCGCCGACGCCAACAGATGTAAGAAGCAGACCGTAGCTTGAAGTGCTTTAACTGGGAATGCTCGACTAGCTAGATGCCCTGTAACTAATTAAAACTCTTGGATCTAGAAGAGCTTATTACATTACTATATTAAAGAGTGTGTGACTATAAGATACCTTAGAAGACAGTAGAGTCTAAACCTGCCTTGGCAAATCAGAGACTAGCAGATACCCTGTATACATCAAAATGTTAGGCCGCATGGAAGAAGAAAGCCTAAAATAGTTCTAAAATGCACGACTACAGATACTCCTTGCGCTGCCTTAGCAGCTAGTTCAAGTGTGAGGAGTGTACGGCAAGCTAATACCCTGTAGGCAAACGAAAATCCAAAAACATGTATAATAGGATAAGGTACAAGACTCTGAGTAAACGCAGATTTACTGCTCGGGTTTGGCTATAAAACTCACGAAACTTGTTCTAGTTAAAACTTTTCATCTATTAGATACCCTGTAGGCAATAAGTCTACATACACTCTACAAAGTCAATAAGTGAGTACATGACATTGTTGAAAACTTACCCTGCCGGCAGAATAGACCAATTTATGTTTTACCTATGATATCCCAACTAGAAGCTCCAGTTGAGTCGCTACCAATCGAGGACTATTACATATCCTATAGTCAAATATACCCTGTACTTTCTTGTGCTGAACAAGAAAAATACGATTTACAGTTTGAGATGATCAATCAGATGTAATGCTGTAAGTTCAGAGGTTTCGGCTTTGATCCTAAGGGTAATAATTTTTGAAATTGTTCAAAAACAGCTTAGATGTATTTATAGAAGGAAAACATAGGCACATCTGTATCTGTTTCTGCTTTTTGTATAAGCTTACTCTTGGCAATTTTCAAGGGGTATAGAGTATGAAAAGAAAAACCATGTGAAAGCATTCAAAAACATTTTCAACGCCTCGAGGGTTGGCGTCGAGTTGCGTGTGTGCGTGGGTATTGCTGTGTGTGCGTATGTGTATGTGTGTGGATGTATGGGCGTATGGGTGTGTGGGTGTGTGCGTGAGTTAGTTCGTTTATTTGTTTGTTGTCATAAAAGTCAAACAGAATGGCGACTGGGTGGTTGGGCGGTTGGGTGGTTGGGTGGCTCTGTGGCCTGGTGGTTGAGTGGTTGCGCTGGCCTCGCCTGTTTATTTTGGGGGTAGCTACAGCAGCTACAAAAAGTATTTCCAGGCGATGATATCAGCGAAAATGAAGCAGCTCGCCTGCATATTGGCCATCAAGGATGTGCGACTGATATCGTGTCCTTATGCAAAATCAATAGGTCGCCCGCGCAGCTGGCTGCCACAGCAATGAAGTCACATATTTTGCATTTGCCATAAAAGCTCAAAATCAATAAGCCAACATTTTTGATTGCGTATACGCAGCGTGGTACTGCCTGAGAGAGCTGGGGGAATTCATTAAAAATGTATGCAGCAGGACAACTGCTGCAGGTTGACGCTGACGTTGCTGTTGATGTTGCGCATTGACAGCATCTGTCAAAATATTCAAATGTCAACAGAAATTTTGATTTAAAATCAATTGTCAATCAAAAAAGTTGCAGGAGAAAGAGTGAAAAATTGTGAAAAAAAATCTAGAGAGAGAAGCAAACAGAACACTTAAAGGAAACTATAAATACCTCTGTTATTTTGGATTAAGAAACTCATTTAACATACAAAAATCTTTCGAAATCTATTATAGAAATGATTTGATATTATGGAATGATCTATATAAAGTGAGTTACTTTACTCACGCGAAGATACCCCACTCCCTTATCGATCTTTAAATAAATCCCATGCTTAACTTAATTACAATATCTCACATCAAATTCATTTCGCTTTGTTGGCGATGCATGCATAAATTCCTCCACCCAATTGAAATGCGCAGTAATCAGCATAAATCAGAAATGTAAGTATGCAAAATTGTTCGTACGCAAAGAATATTGAAAAGGGCAACAAAAGCATAGTGACCCACATATCAAAAAGAAATAAACCTATCTATATACATATATGCACATACACATGTAGAGAGAGTGTATGTATCCATGTAAAAAGTCGAGAAATGTTTGCTCGTGTCACTACATTTAAAATTCCAATTGCCTGCTCGCATATTCGCAGATGATGTTCGAAACTCTTCCTCTTTTCCTCATCTATATGTATATTTGGTGACTTTTCAGGTTTATCGTCTTTTTTTATCTCTCTCTCTCTCTCTTTCTCTCTCGATTTTCAGTAAAGTTCAAGAAACTTCAGATTTATGCCACGACATGCGCCTCAATGAACATTGTGGGAAAAAATGCGTTTGCCAACGGAAATTCACAATTCAAATAGTCAATTTCTGCATTGCATTGAATACAGAGCTTACTGATGCGAAATAGTTTTGATTAAATTTGAATTGTATTTTTAAATTGGGTTATACTTAGAATTATATATACATGTATCTCTTGATATAGAAACCTAGAGCAAGCTAACATTTATTGTTTTCCCTTATAGAAGCAACGTTTATTAAATAAAACCTCTCTACGCAATTCTCATGTATGAAAATTAGGTTCAAGAGCTCTAATACAAGCCTCAAATACCTATAGATCAAGCAAATGATCCTTGTAGTGTTGATAAAATTCAACAAATCTTTTACCAACGCCTTTCTATGCACTTCTCATGAATGAACATAAGTTTTCAAAGTCTTTTGTGAAATCTTAATACGTATAAGCTCATAATCAGAAATGGTAGGCAACTAGAAATAGCATGGGTTAACTCATTAGCTTATATATAAACGTATTATTACAGTGAATATGAATATGGTAAACACCTGCATGGTAAGCAAGTGATTCATTAGGTAGGCAAGTGTTCAATCCTTCTGCGTGGAGCCTAATTAAGTGATTTATTATGTGGAAACAGGCATCAAAACAAACGCCTAATTAGTTAGGCAAACATATTATTAGCCGTATGACAATAGCTCATAATTATTTCGACAGCTATATAAATAGGGAAATCCTTTGGGTGACAGCAATTAGTAGAGCACAATGTATCCAAAGTATTTGAGCAAAGATTATCCGCTGGAGAAGCATTTGTTCTTTGTCACCAGATATTCATTTGGTTTGCTTGGCTTGCACTTCGAGCGCTTGCCCAGCATTTGGTCCACATGCTGGCTTATCTTTAATTTCGTGAATTTGCTGCATTGCTGCCAGGCGGAGTTTAGCTTCGGCTGGAGTTACATACACACCAGTCCACTGGATGCCATGGATGCCTTTTGTCCGCTCGCCTGCAGCCTGACCACGCTCTACAAAATGGCCTGCATGTGGGCGAGTCGTGTGGAGGTGGCATCGCTCATTCAGCGTATAAGACAACTGACAGAGCAGCAGACGGAAGGCAAGAGAACCGACCTGAAGAGCGAGTACTACAGGCTGGCCACCTTGCTATGCATGCTCATCTTTACGCTTGGCTCTATAAATACGGCGGCATTTGTCCTGAGATCCTTCTGGGAGATGTGGATGCATCGTCACCTGCCCTTCAAATACGATATGCCCTTTCGCATGATGTAGGTGTATCTGTATCTGTATCTGTATCTGTATCTGTATCTGTATCTGTATCTGTATCTGTATCTGTATCTGTATCTGTATCTGTATCTGTATCTGTATCTGTATCTGTATCTGTATCTGTATCTGTATCTGTATCTGTATCTGTATCTGTATCTGTATCTGTATCTGTATCTGTATCTGTATCTGTATCTGTATCTGTATCTGTATCTTTGTATCTCTGTATCTTTCATCTCTCTCTTGCTTTCTTCTTCCTCCTAGCTTTCCAGCTATATTTCATCGCATGCCCCTCTATCCTCTCGCCTATCTCTATTCCACCTGGAGCGGACAGGTAACGGTCTACGCTTTTATAGCCACCGATGGCTTCTTCTTTAGCTTCACACTCTACATGACGTTCCTTCTAAAAGCATTACGAATGGATCTGCAGCGCATTCTCCAAGCTGTTAAAAGTAAGTATCTTTAGAGAGTCTCTTCCGCTAAGCCTGCTTTGCATCCTTTAGAGCCCACGCCTCTCGAGTGCGAAATTTGTTGCGAACAATTGCGAATTATCATCGATCGTCACAACGATATCGTTGGCATTGTTCAACGTTTCTCTGTGATTATGGCTGCGCCAACTTTTGCACAATTTCTATCCGCCAGCTTGGTGATAGCTACGAGTGTTATCGATATACTATTGGTGAGCATACGATTATCTATACTATATACCTAATTTGGGTAGATTCTATAGGAACGATTTATATTGCAAGAAGTCTAGGGTTAGGTCTTATCCTTATCTAACGTAATGCGTATTTATGATTAGAACAATATCTGAGATTTAGGTTATTAGCTGTTTCCATAGATCTATAAAAAATTGTCTTCAGTTTCGGCTAGTCCTCTCTTCCGAACCGGAGATTGAAGGATTTACCTAGACTTCCGCAGAATTTCATGGGGCTTTACATTTCCTCTATTATATGATCCGGGTTTTGGGCTTTGAGTTTTATTTATAATATTATGTTTTCCAATTTTTCAGTTTTCGGGTCTGAACATCATACGCTATGTGGTCTATGCTAGCACAGTTAGCGCCTGTTTGTTACTCTACTGCTATGGAGGCACCGAGATGTCTCTGGCTGTGAGTTCGCATATAGAATATTATTATATACACATACATACATATATAACATATCTTCTAGAGTATGGATCTGGGTGAAGCTGCCTACAATAGCCACTGGTATATGTGGAATCGTGAGGTGCGGCAGCGTATCTTTCTGCTCATCATGCGTGCCCAGCGACCCATCACAGTCCGGGTGCCCTTCTTTGTACCATCTCTGCCCGTCTTTACATCGGTGTGTATATGTGTGTGGGTTATTGCATTGTTTGTTTCGCTCTGCTTTCTCTGTTGCAGGTCATCAAGTTTACGGGCTCCATTGTGGCGCTGGCCAAGACAATACTTTAGTGGACACAAAGCAATTGAAATTTTTCGTGTTACAAAGGAAAAATTGCCAATGGGGTGTAGTTATACATATATATTGATGTCTATGTATATACATGCATATATTGATATATATGTGTGGCTATATCTTACCCTCAAAGTATGCAGCAGTCTCTCCTTAGCTGCTAGTACTTGTGTAAAACATATAGAAAATATATACGATATGTGTGGAAAAGGTATTGGGAATTGTACGTTTTAAGTGAATAATACCACAGTCATGATCCTATGAAAGAACAACATTTGATTGATATTAAAATGTTGCATATATATAATATATAATATCGTATCGAAGGATCATCTGAACACGATCACAAATAATGAATTTTTGAAGAGGTTTAAGGATTGGAAAAACACGATATGTGGATTATTTTGAGAAGGATCAATATAGATATTCATGAATAAGTGAATGGCATTCTTACATTATTCTATATCCCCCAATATTGCAAGCCCTGTGATATCATATCACCTGGCCAATTGTAACCTAGTCTCTCCTTTGAAGTTAAGTTCTTGTCATACAAGCCATGCTCAAGCTCTATAGGATAGATTTGCTCAGTGAAAGGAAATGAGTAGGTGTTCATCTAAACAGACTGGGCAGCTGGTTTGATTAAAGTCCCAGCAGGTGGGCGAGTTCGTAATTTGCATTTGTCCAGCTCATATCAAGGGAAATTTGCATATGGTTATTCGACGACAACAACAACAACAACAACAACGACAGCAGCGACAGCAACTGCAGGTGACGTCAAAAGGCGTCACTAACGAGGACAAAGCTGAGCGCTCCATGTGAGCAGCTTGATTAAAAGCAAAAAGTCAAAGGCTGCTCATATAACAACAAAATCAATGGGACGGCATTTTATTCAATAGCCATACGGAGCGTATACGTAACGTGCTGTACAATGGGTAACCAAAGCAACTGAATGCTGCACCGATCTAACAGAGAGTGAGAGAGAGAGAGAGAGGGAGAGAGAGTGAGGGTCCCAGCTCTTTGAACACGTGCATCAGCTTTAAGTTCAGATAATTCCTTGACCATAAATTAAATGTGATTTTAAACAATTTTGATTACTTGAATATGTAGCTGCTGATTAGATTTACGTGTTTTAGATTAGGGAAAAGAAAAAACCCGAAGAGTGGTCAGTCAGCTCCAGTTTATATGAACCTCTTTTAGTGCACTTACGTTAGCTGATCTGGACGGATCGAAGTGGAATTCGCTATATATATATAGATAGATATATAGAGATAAAGTCAGCTATGGGCCAGTTTTATGGTTTATTTCGACTGCTGTTGGTCAGCTTTTTTGTGCTGACTGTAGCCAAAGCGGAAAAGGGTATGTAAATAGAGTATATTTATATATAAAGAGAATAGAATAAATATCTCTAGCTTCAAGGATAGAATAGATATGATCATCGAGGTTCGATAATGAGACAGGCAGGACTAGCTCAACTTAGCTAGTTCTCCTGAACATATATATAGAGCTGTGCTTCCACATCAACGCTTCCCAAAGAAAAATTATTAAAAACTAAATTTTGCATGAAAATAACCTTATATATTCGATATGTTTTGGTATATTTCTTGATCGAAAACCTGGTTGTAAATCCATTATATTTTATTGCGTCTTGGCAGTTGTGTGGCATATACTGTATATACTTTATGGGGTCTGCCACGCTTATAGCTAGCTGTTTAATAGATTTTAATAACACTCATAATTCCCATTTTCAATTGGCTTTTTTTAGGTGAAAGTCAATAATAGTGAGTAAGGAAAATTTGACAAGAACTAATTATATGGGCAAGGACGATCTTCATACATCCAAAATTCACATGCCTAGCAATTGAACGCAATTAGTTTAAGTTTCTCGATGAATTCAGCTAATCATATATATATTTATATAGTGCCACATATTATAAATATTGACTAGTCCCATTCGCAGATCAATGTTCACTTTATAATGTCATATACCAATAGCTCGCTAATCTGCTACTTCCACAAGCTTCTATCAAATCAAATGCTTTGATTATAGATCGTCGCTCGTAGATAACTAGAAATCCCTAGTATTTTGAAGACTAGACTTCCATGAAATAGAATTTAAGTATATAAATATCAGCACCTGCGATAAGCAGCAATGAATTAGAGATTAGTTAAAAGTCAACTGTAAATTTCCAGACCGTCAGCATGGACGAACCCTGTCAAGGCCCACGCCAGCCGTTAGATTTGAGAAGGAAACGCTAAGCAGCTACTGGCGCGAGGATGCGCAGAAGATACTGGCCGACAAGCTGGATGCACTGGCTCAGCTGAAGAAGCAAGGTGCCAAGAATGTGATCTTGTTTCTGGGCGATGGCATGTCGATTCATACGATAACTGCGACCAGGAATCTGCTGGGGGACAGCTCCGAGAAGGTGTACTTTGAGAAGTTTCCCTACACGGGTCTATCGAAGACCTACTGTGTGAATCGCCAGGTCGCTGACTCCGCCTGCACCTCCACAGCTTATCTGGGCGGTGTGAAGGGCAACTATGGTACGATTGGTGTGAATGCGAACGTGCCGCGTTACGATTGCAATGCCGCCTATGTGGAGCAGAATCAGGTGGATAGCATCGCCAAGTGGGCGCAGGATGCGGGCAAGGATGCGGGCATTGTGACAAGTGCCAGAGTCACGCATGCCTCACCAGCTGGCGCCTATGCGCACATCTCCGATCGCAACTGGGAGAACGATGCAGAGGTTAGGGCTCAAGGTTGCGATCCAGAGGTCAGCATAGACATAGCTCGTCAGCTAGTCGAATGGGAGGTGGGCAAGAAATTGAAGGTGATTCTCGGTGGCGGCAGACAGATGTTCCTGAACGAGACCGTGCGTGATGAGGTGGGTCATCCGGGCTATCGCCAGGACGGGCGCAATTTGATCAAGGACTGGCTAGCCGATAAGCAGGCACAGAATGCCTCGGCGAGCTATGTGTGGAGCCGCAAAGGTCTAACCGAAGTGGACTTGGATAATACGGACTATCTGCTGGGTCTCTTTGCCAATGGACATTTGCCATATGACGGCGATCGTGAGCGCAGCCCTAAGAATAGCCATTTAGCTGATCCATCGCTAACCGAACTGACGGAGGCCGCTTTGAAGGTTCTACGGAAGAATGAGAAAGGATATTTCCTGTTTGTGGAAGGCGCACGCATCGACATGGCCCATCATTCGAACTATGCACGTCGCTCGCTGGAGGACACCGCCGAGTTCGCTCGCGCCATACAGAAAGCACGTGAAATGACCGACGTGGAAGATACCCTAATTGTCGTGACGTCCGATCATTCGCACGTGATGACCATCAATGGTTATCCGGTAAGCTAGAAAACCCATCCGATTGTCATCCATTACTAATTTCTTAATCTGATTGCCTTCCTCTTCTAGCTACGCGAACAGGAGATAACTGGCTTGGCTAATAGCTTAGCCGACGATGAGAGACCCTATAATATACTCTCCTATGCCAATGGACCCGGCTATGCGGGCACATACACTAAGGCAGACGGTCGCAAGCCCATTAGCCAAAAGCACACCGAAAATCCGATGTTTGTGAATCCGGCAATGGTGCCGCTCAGTGCCGACACCCATGGTGGGGATGATGTTGCTGTTTTCGCTTCGGGTCCTTTCGCCCAGTATTTTAGCGGCAATTACGAGCAGACCAATATTCCTGCTATGATGGCCAGAGCTGCTGCCATCGGTCCTTTTGCCAATGTCCAGCCTTAGATGCGGTCTCTCTCACTCTCTCTCGATATATTTCTGTTCTGTGCTTTTCGTTGCTATTTTGTCAATTCGAGTTGCCAAATGCAATTAAAATGTTAGCGCAATAGCTAAATGTACTGGTCATGACAGTTTTAGGAATACTCTTACATGGGGTATTTCGCTATACGGGTCATTATGTAACAGTTAAATGTTTCTAATCTTATTAAAAATATGGAAACTACTTTTTTCGGGTTTTTTGTTTATTTAGTTATTCTACAATAGCTTCAAAATCTTCAAATCATATTAGCTACTGTGACTTACTATATTATTTAGATTCAATAGAATTTATATAGTTCCTAGTTCTTCTAACAAGTGTGCATGTAAGATATGGGAAAGATCAGCCAGTAGAAATGTAAGTAAATAATTGACTATATACTTTAAAAGAATTTCCTTATAAAGTAAAATTCATAAATCATATCAAATATTTTCCCAAACTCAATGAATAATCAAAGAAAGTAGTCAGAGAAAAGACCGGCAGTTATAGAGTATTCAAATGTCGGCTTAGCCACAATAAATAAACAGTTTCGTTTGTTAACCAAGTTTTCGTAAATGGAATTGGTTTTAATTGAAAGCCAATTGGTTGCGACAGCAGCACAATTTCCTGTCAATTCTCGCTCATAACAGAGACACACCGAGATTGATTCACAGGTGAGTAGCAGGTGCAATCGCAGTTGCAGTTGCAATTGCAGCTGCAATTCAATTAACAATCGGCTTCAATCAATCAATCCAAATAGATGTTGTTTGTGATTGATTATAGCAAAAGTCGTGAACTGAGCTAGTTGCTTAAATCTTGGCCAAACTTTTGCTGTTAGCTTAGTTCCAGTTGATTTAATAAAGAACTTGCAACTGTCCAGCAGCAACAGTGATTGATAACTAGCACAGGCACAATTAATGACTAAATTATATATTTATCGTTTAGGCGTTTAATTAGTTTGATATAGTTTCGTTAATTGGCCTATCGATTAATCGGCTAATTGGATTTTGCATTTGCTGCCGGCCCTATGAGAATTTGAGAATTTAATGGGGATTGTTAAAGTAATTCAACTTTTGCTACAGCATAATAATTGTAACATATATTTATATCTACATATTTGTATTTACAATGCTCCAGTTACGCCCGCTTGCCATGGGGAATTACTATAGTCCCGGCCCATCTGGGGGCAGCTGCTGTGGCTGCCGCTGTTGCATGCAATTTGATCACTGGGCCACAGCCGCAACGACTAACCGCACTATGCCAGCCGCCTCCTGCTGCTGCCCCGCCCCCTTATGGCAAAGCTGCACACAATCACGCACACCTGTCTCTGTGCGGTCTAGCGGACATTCCAATGAACTTCTACTTACCAGCAGAAATGCCAACAGCAGCAACAGCAACGGTAGCAGCGGCTGCAGCAACAATTTGGTCATTGTCACCCAGCGGGGTTTTGTCATGCTTCACAGCACACAAATATGTTTCACACGCACACACACATGGGCAGAAATACGCACACAAACACATACACTAGCACGTAAACGAACGTTGACAATTTAATTAAAACACGCAGCTAGTCGTGCTCAAGTGATAAACGGTACATCTGCTGCCCCACGCTCAGCTAGCGCCACTCTATGCGATCCTTTAGCCTTATTATTATTTCATTATGATATACAACATTTTTCAATTATAAGCAAAACAGATTTCCTTTCTTTTTTTTTGCATTTAACACAATTATGCACAAACTTGACTTTTTAGTACTGTAAAATGTCCTTTACTATCGATATTGCTTGGTGATCGAAACGGAGTTAGTTGCCAATTTGAGTAAACGCCATTTGTAATCGCTCTCTTTACTCAGAAAGTGAGCGTAAGGAAACTATGTGGAGCATACGATATTCCAAGCAGAGGAAACGATATGAGATATCGTAAATGGCAGATATGCTGTTTATGCATACCATTTCTGCTCTGGCAGCTGACGAATTGCCAATTGGCTGTGCAGCTCCAATTGGAGTAGCTGCTTAGTCAGCGGCCAAGGCAGCCGCAGCAATTGCTTCAACTGTAAAACTTCCAACTTCTGCTCCACATTTCATCATATTTTACTTTGGTATTTACTGCGTCTCGTTCTGTTTACCTCCTGATAAGAATCCAATTCGGGAAACGGAATTCATATTTAAATTTTAGAGCCGCTCCCCTCATTTCCGTTGTCACTTTGCATTCCTTGACGGAATTTTCTCTATTGAATTTCTTGGCTGGATTCATCGAGCACCTTAGATTGAATATCCTGCGCATCCTGCAGCGAGCCAAACCTCAAATGCAGCTCATTGAGCGTATCGTAAGTATGATTCCGATTAAATAAGGTAATATCG